CAACAGTAAATAAATCCTAAATTATGTATATATATATATATATATATATAAAGTATAACTAAAGCATGTATATTAGAAGGTGATTCTCTAACTTATGTATTGCTGTAGTTGTTGAATAACCTTTATATGACATTACAAACCTGATTTTCTGTTCTGGCTTTGGGTTTTCATGTGTCACCCCAGGATTTTCAGTGGCCCCCACATCCCCCCCAGTTAAAACATTTCTGGAGGCACCACTGTGTGTATATTTAACGATTGCATTATTGTATCGACTGCAAACCAAAGACACAAAATCCTGTCTACCGCAGGTAAGTCACTGACTACTGATAACTTCTCCACACAACCCCAGAAACAGGAACTCTGGTTTTAGAGCTTCAGATTAGCCTCCAGGGCTGAACTCACTGCTCGTGGTGAGTTTGTGGATGGCTTCTCTCCATTCTTCTAGCTCATACAGGGAGGAGAAGAAGAGAGCGTGGCTCTACAACAAAACAAACACGTTCTTTTATAACACGGGTGTTTTTTTATTCACTCATAGCACATAAAAAGTTAAGCTGCGTGTGTTTTGTGTACCTTGCCACTGGGGCTGTGCAGCTCCAATCTGTAAACTGGAGAGTATGTGAGCAGCATCAGCTCCATTTGTTCCAGTTTCTTCTTGTTTCTAGCAGCCAAAGCCATGATCTTGGTACCTTTCTTTGTACAGAGAAATGATCACGTTACTCTCATCTGTCCCAACGATGGCTCGTTCACGTTATCCTCGCTGTGGTAACACACACCGTGTTTTGCTGCAGCTGCTGCCGTAGGAGGTACAGCTTTGTGCGTAAGGTGTGTAAGCGAATGTTTACTTCAGGTGATCGCTCTTCATCCGCAGCCCAGTGGAGTTTGAGTCCGGCGAGAGGCAAATACCATGAGAACCTGTACTGGTCCTGTTTCCTGGAGAAAAAAAAAACTCTTTTTTTAATCATGGTTCTTACGTCTTTTTAGAACAACCGAGTCTGATCACGTAAAGGTGTCCACATTTCCCACAAACCTACGTGTCTTCTGTTGCTAAACTCACCCTCTGGCTGCATGTTTGAATCTGGTGCACAGAAGGAGGTCGGTGTAAAGGAAGAGGTGACGCAGGCTGCGCACACTTTCACTCACATCCACCACAAAGCCGTCACGTATCAGCTGACGCCTCTGGTGGAGCACATACTAACATGTTAAACCCACAGCCATGATCATCAGAGTACATGCGTGTGAATGAGAGGGAGGCTGGTGGAACAGTGAGGCTACAAGGAGCAGAGGTCACAAAGGTGCAGGACTTCAGGTACTTGGGGTCCACTGTCCAGGAAAATGGGGAGTGTGGTAAAGAGGTGAAGAAGAGAGTCCTGGCAGGATGGAGTGGATGGAGAAAAGTTTTGGGAGTGATTTGTGACAAAAGACTTGCAGTGAAGGTTAAAGGAAAAGTTTACAAAACAGTGGTGAGACCAGCTATGTTGTATGGTCTGGAGACAGAGACATGGACACAAAGACAGGAGACAGAAGTGGAAGTGGCAGAAATGAAGATGTTGAGGTTCTCCTTAGAAGTGACAAGGATGGATAAGATTAGGAATGAGATCATCAGAGGTACAGCACAGGTTGAACAACTGGGAGATAAAGATAGAGAGACCAGACTGAGATGGTTTGGACATGTCCAGAGGAGGGACAGTGGGTATACTGGTAGAAGGATGTTAGAAATGCAGCTGCCAGGAAAAAGACAACAAGGTGATTTATGGATGCAGTTAGAGAGGACATGGAGGTAGTTGGATTTAGGACAGAGGACAGAGTGAGATGGAGGAGAAAGACGCTGTGACGATCCCTAAAGAGGGAGAAGAAGACGTGGTTATCAGTGTTTTGGTTAGAGAACCTTTTCGAGTCAGATTGTCTACCATCCATTCATCCATCTTTCCATTGTCTTTTACCCGCTTCTTCCTTTTCCGGTTACGGGGTCACTGTTGCCCATATTCAGCAGTCACTGTGCAAGAGGCAGAGACACCCTGGACAGGTCTCCAGTCCATCACGGGGACGCATAAAGACAAACAACCATTCACTCTCTCACTCACACCTAGGGACAATTTAGAATCAGTCTAACATGCATGTTTTTGGTTGGTGGGAGGAAACCGGAGTACCCGGAGAAAACCATGCACGCATGGAAATAACATGCAAACTCCACTCAGAAAGTTCCCCGTTCTGGGATTTGAACCGGCAACTTTCTCACTGAGAGGCAACAGCTCTACCAACTGAGCCACTGCGCCAGTGTTCTGAAAACCTGCTCATATGGGGAAAAGCACCTGTTTGACAGGGTAATGTTTATTTTACTGCCATAGAGAGAAATATAGGTAACAACTATTAGCAGGGGCAGCTGTGGCTGAGTGGTTAGAGCAGTTGTCCTCCAATGGGAGAGTTGGGGGTTAAATTCCACCAGCAGTCACATGTTGAAGTGTCCCTGGGAAAGACACTGAATCCCTCATTGTCTCCAATGTGTGTCCCATCGGTGTATGAAAGTGATAAAGCAGTGATTATTCTTTGTAGAGATATAGTAGAGTGCTGTATGAATGGGTAAATGAGGGAACATATTTTATGTAAAGCGCTTTAAGTATCTTGATAAGATGGAAAGGTGTTCTATACTGTAAGTACAGTCCAGAACTATTATTGTTACTCGCTCGAGGAGAGTTTCAGATTTCAAGACAGTCCATGTTAAACCATATTATGATTGATATAAACACCCCCGTCTGACTGTGAGTTCATTGGTTAAGTATGAAGTAATGCACACTCAACTCTAAAACTGGATAAGATCAAGAATGCACCATCGGTAAGGATAGGCGCACATCATTTTAAATATTTCTGCGATTCATTGTAGCAGAAGATGCATAACAGAGGACTCACCATGCCATGACTGAGGGTGACTCCCCGTTTACTCTGTGAACTCTCGTTGATGCCAGACAGGAAGCTACGAGACAACCTCAGAACTTCCTGCAAGACTGCGTAATCTTTGTGCTCCACTGGCGTCGTCTTCAAGAGGTCCTACCAAGTCCACAAAGAGAGATTAACAAAACAGAAACAAACAGGTGGATAAATGAAAGAGAAAGTCTGAGAAGCATAAATGGAATGGATCTGGGGGTTTTCTCACTTGCAGTGCTAATGTGGTTTTGGTTACTCTGTCCAAAGGTTTGTAGAGTAGAGCTGTGAATGGGGGAAAAAAGGCATAAGATATTGATAGAATTCAGTAAAAACATAAATCTAATAGAGCTGCACGATATATAGAAAATTTATTGTCATTCCAATATCAACATTGTTGAAAACTGCAACAAATGGACACCAACCACATACCAGTGGTATACAGTTGCAGTCAACAGTTTACATGGGCACAAATGTTACGTTAATTTTGGTTAATATTCATGATTTATTTTAGCTGGGGGGGGGGGGGGTAGGTTGGAATGATTATACAACATTTAATGTTATTGACTGATTTAACCAAGAAGGTTGAGTTTGTTGTGGATATTAATAAATCCATAAAGTGTCAAAATTAGACATACAGGCAGGTACAAATGTATACCTAAATTTTCTATCAAGTGGTGCTGAAGTCCCCAAAAATGTCACGCATGAAGGCCTGTTAACTTCTAGTTACTGATTATGATTGACTGCAGCTGGTTGTTTCTCTTTGCCATCATAAAAATGATTGGATTGACCAATAATGATCTGTCATCCTCTTCCATGTTTTTTGTTGTTACAAGTTTCAGGAAGAACCCAGGAACCAGCAAGACTCCAGCATTTCATGAACTGGAACCATGGACTCAGGGGTGCTGACCAAGAAAGAGTCCCCTGTTCCAATAAACAACACCTTCAAGCAGCTGCCCACATGTACTAGACAAACATTTCTGTTATATAGTCAGACAAGACAAAGCTTGATCTGTTTGACCAAAGTACATTTGAAAGATTCAAGGCGAGGCTTTCTACTCTGATGAGCACATCTGAACATTTTTCAAGCAAGGTGGTGGTAGCATCAGGTGATGTACACAAACTGGATGGAATAATGAAGAAGGCTCACCTCTACAGTCTTCAACTGCACCTCAAATCAACAGACATTTTTATATTCAGTGTTCCAACAGAACAATGATCCCGAACACATCTCAACTGGTTTCTGATTGGATGAAGCAAACTGACATGAAGCGTCTAGTTTAGCCTTCTTAAAGCCCTGACCTCAGACCTGTTAAAAAATGATGGAGTACCCTTTATAGCCAATTACGTCTGTGCCAGGGAATCAACAAGTTTGAAAAAAATAATATAATAAATAAAACTAAAGAAATTCTGCCAAAAACAGAGGTCAAATCGTCAACCAGATATGTCAGAAGCTTGGTGACGTCCACACGTCTGTGGCCAAAGAGCAATGAACGTCCAACCAAATATCAGTGAGGGTGTACGTATATACAGTATGTTAGCATGTATGTATCATTTTCACTCTCTATGGAATAATTGTTGTTTTATCGTTTGAACTCAAAAGGGAAAGACTCAAAGCAGTCAAGAAAAGTCTAAAACGTATATGACCTTCATCCTCAGGCTGTATGTAAACTTCTGACTACAGTTACATAGACCACCCGAAATACTCAAAGCTGATTTAGACAATAGTGAACGGTCTACTTAAACACATGAGGCGTCTTGGTTTCATGTTGACCAAAAATACTACAGCTAATCGTGTTATTGCAGTAACACTACAAATACATGTTTCACAAATATCGTGCAGCCCTGATATCTACTGTCCGTACCTTCTAATGTGTATTTTGTCCGAGTTTTATCTGCAGTGTTGTTGGACATCAGGCTCTAGAAAAAAAAACACCCAACAGGTTACCATCAATGCAAAAGAGTCTTTCTGAATTCACCTGAAGGAGTGGTGAGTTTTTGGTACCTCGGCGAGGGTGCGAAAACGAGGATCTGACTGAGTGCACTTTCTGACAACTTCAACAGCTTTCTCGTAGTTTTCGATGAAGCCTCCATACAGGCTGAGATGGTTTATCTGAAAAACAAAAGACACAATACGACTGAACGTGTGATTCAATGTCAACAATGCAATATGACAGTGTAAAGGAATGACTCAAAGGAATTTAATTAGACTACAGTAAAGCTCATTAAATATAATGTTTATTTTGTTCTTCTTCTTTTGGCTGCTTCCTTCCTCAGGGGTCGCCACAGCAAACTAACTCGCACAAAGACTTGGTATCAGTAATTGTTGTTTTTTTTTTTTTTGCCTTGCTCAAGGGTCCAGAGCGGGACAAACGAGGTTAGAGGCAGGTGTGGAACTGATGGTGGCTCGCCTCACGGCAGAGGATACTTAATCGTAAGTACAAAACAATGAGGCATTGGTATTATTCAAATTGTCAAGATGTACATTTCAGTTTCTGCTTTCATCAATTATTCCTTTTCATTCCAGGTCTTAAAAAATCTCATATCTTGTAAATAATCTCAGGCTCAGCTGTGAGCCCCTCCCATCCCAAAGTTCTCAGAGCAGACACACTGTAAAGCTAGCTTTGGGTAACAGACCTCCCGCACCACATCCCTGACTTTCCTGAGACTTTTATATCTAAAATCAAACTTTCTATTAAACATTAACATGTTTAAAATGTCGTCATCGTCGTACAGACATATCCACACTCTCCACCACAAGGCAAGCGGGGAAACCTTCAACACACAGGCGCCAAGCTGTGGGGCTAAAAGTAGACCCACACCAGCTCAGTGCCTCTCACCATGAGCACCTCCTGAATGGAATAAGGTCCATCCCCCATCAAGGAGACTGGTTCCAGAGCCATGTTGTGCATCAAGGTGAGCCCATCTATATCTAGTCGGTACTTCTCTCCAGCTCAAGCTTCTTCCTCACCAGAGGTGATGTTCCATGTCCCAAGAACCAGCTTTGGTAAGCTTTAGTAGCACTTAACAGGAAGTACTGGTGTTTCTACACATGATGTCTGTTTTCATTAAAATCTTACATTATTGCCTTAAACTGAACAAAAACTGAAACACAATAAAAGAAAACTTACCATCTTCAGAAACATGTCCCCGACCTCCAGCTCAGAGTTCCTGCATGCCGTTCCTGTTTCCTCACTGGAAACGAGTTCCGTTTGGCTTTGAGCGTCCAGACGGGCCTTCAGGCCAGAGCAGAAGTTTTGGTGAACGTCTCTGAGCTCAGGTACATGGTAGAAAACGGTCTGAACCTCTTGACTGGACAGCACTGGCTGGGAAGTCCCAGCTGAGGCCCGCAAAGCCTTCATGGGCTACGGAGAAGGATATTCAAAGGGTAAAACAAAACAAAAAGAGATCCTCAAAGCAACGTAAAAAACAGATATTGGTGTAAAAAAGAATAAGTGAACAAATGACGTGTGAACGCACTGACGCATTAATTCACCAACATCTTAACTTCAGAGACTGGAACCAACACAACAAAACTTGTACTAAAGGGATCTTTGACTTATTGCAACAATAGAGCTTATTTGATAAACAATTACTTCAGCTATAAAAACAAGATACGTAGAAAAATGCTGTAGGCTGTTTAGTTATATATATATATATATGTATATATATATATATATATATATATATATATATACACCTCCATTTTATTTATGTTGCAATGCGTAAATGACAGAGACATGGTGCCCTGGTCCAAGCTCCATTCAAATCGATTGTTAATTGTGGACATTATCTGATGTTCAGCCCTTTAGTTTAAACTGGAAAGCACTGTCAGAGAGGAGAAAGGAGAAATGGTTCAGCTTTTGCATTAACTCCAGATCTAATACATATGATGTTAACTCCAGAGCTCTTATGTTTCATTCAAGCTTTATTTCTAAAAGTTAGTCTCATTGAGCCTCGAGGACTCATTTACAAGAGAGACCTGTTTTCAAAGAACAGATGAGGTACAGACAACAAAAGACAATCATATAATAAGCATATAAAATGAAAAGTAAACAGAAGAAACTATATAAAAACAAAACAAAAACAGCTACATTATAAAGCGATGTAAAATACTAAAAACAGGAACATGTTTGCATTTTTTTTTTTTTTGCCATGAACTTAGTTGATTAAAGTCCTTTAGAGAGGTCAAAGTCGACAACTTCAGATATTTTTAAGGAATTCCATGTTACATGAGCAGAATAAGAAGTACCTATTGCCTAATTCGGTCCGCACTGAGAGAACACTGCAGGTAATAAAGTCCTGAGAGCGCACGCTGTAGCTGCACTTACGTAGTGACAAGTAGGAGGAGATGTATGAAGGCAGCAGACCAAGAAGTGATTTAAAGATGAAAATGTACCAGTGAGAGAGTCTGTGTGAAGTTAATGATGACCAGTTAACCAGTGAATACAGGGTGCAGTGGTGGGTATGGTAGTTACAGCCAGTTATGAATCTTAATGTAGTTAGTGTCAGAGCTAATAATAATAATAATAATTCCTCATGAGGGAGTTTTTTATTTCCACTGTTGCCTTTATACTTGCTCAGGATGAGAGTCTGTGATAAAATAACACTCAAAGCAGTCTGCTGACTCCTCAGATAAATAATACCGGTAAATTACTTTTTTTAATGAATTTGAATGTTTCTGTTCAGTAACCTGAGATGACTTCTATTGTGACTTGGCGCTATATAAATAAACTGAATTGATTTCAATTAATATACATGACATTAGCTCTGGAGTTAATAAATATGTCAGTCCCAGAGCTAATATATACATATAAGACATTAGCACTGGTGACAATAGTATTAAATCCAGAGCTAATATATATGAAATTTGGTTTCAAAGCTTATATATATTTATAGCGTTAACTCCAGAGCTAAAATAGATGACGTTAGCTCCAATGCTAATAGCAATAGTTCCAGAGCTGATAAATTAAACATCAGAAGTTAATCACGTTTAATCTTTTTGACCTATATATCGTGCATAAAGACTAATACAAAATACAACTTTATTGTCACGTTGTAACCTTTTAGCCTTGACTACTTGTGTTTCAGTCTCCACTACAACCAATGTACTTTATCACCCAGAATGCATTGCATTGCTAAAGTACTGGCAATGTCCTTAGGTGAAACATGTAATAAACAAATATACTTACGTCACAAACTACAACTCTTAGTAGAATAAAGAAATAACAACATACGGTATTAGGGCCAATATATGCAGGTAGTTGAGATCCCTTTAAGAAGCTGTGAAACAAGTGCAAAAAAAACAACAAATAAAACTAATAACTTGCCGGGGGCATGGCTTCACTTTGACGGGGTGCTGGCTGGTCGGCCTGATGTGACATTCGCGGTGTGGGGTGCTGTGTGTGTGGGGGAGTGCACAGGTGGCATACCGGGGCTTCTCCAGGCCTGTGGTGTGGAGCTGTTGGGATGCCTGATCCTTGGTGCGCTGGGCCGGCCTTCCTCGGCTGCTGCTCCCTGCTGCTCTGGGGCCCGGCTTGCGGTCGCTGTCGGGTGGGTGGGGTGCATGGACGGCCCGACAGAGGCTCTGTCAGACTGTCTCTGTGTGCCTGTTTATGTCTCGGGTTGGATTTTAGGTGGTCCCCTCTCTTGGATCAATTAGGGCCCCCCATTTAATGTGGGGTCTACTTCCCCCTATTGTGCTCCCCTCCGGTGGTGGGCCCCCCTGCTGCCGGTGCATTGGCGGCTCTCAGCATCTGGGGCTGGGTGGTGGGGTGTGTGAGCCCACCCTGGTGGCTGCCTGCCGGGGCCTGGGTGCCCTGGCTCTGTCGGGTCTCTGTTGGGGGGTGGTATGACCTCGGGACTCGGGGCTCGGTGTCCATGGCCGGAAGGGGTGGGTTGCCGGCGGGGCCTGTGGACTCGTCGCTGCAGCCTCCTGGGGTTTCTGCATTGTGGTTGCTGGGGATTGCCCAGGGCTTCCCTTTGCTTCTCTCTCTGGGTGGGGGTGGGGGTGGGGGGGTCCCTGTTGGGGGACTCCCAGAGCTCTGGGCTTGGAGACCGCTGTTTGTCTGTGGCTCCAGTCTTCCATGTTGCCATTGTGTCCTGTGGGGACAGGCCTGTGGGTCCCCACATCCACTATTGAACATTTTTATGGAGAAACCTTATAGTGATAATCATGCTCACACAGGTGTTTAGATCCAGGTGTTTATCAGATACACACTCAGTTGGGTTGTGGAGACCACTAAATATATCTTGTATTACCGTGTACTGTATAAAATACTTTCTAATGATGTTATAAGTATCATTATATATGTTGTTTGTTGTTGTGGTTTCTTGGTTTTGTCTTTTTTTTCTCTCTTTCTAGAGGCAGACTTCAATGATGTTGATTTGTGTTCTCTTTATAGCTCTCTCTCTCCTCTATTCATATCTCCTTCTTTACCTTTGAACTCTTCTCCCACTTTTCTGCTTCGTTATCTTCTTTGTTTTTTTATCCCCATGTCCATTACATCTGGAACAAACCCAAAGCAAATTCTAATAAAATTTAATTTATATATCAAGTGGAGCATTAAGGCCAGCCATAATGCTCTGCTTGTGAAAGTAAATCTGTTGACCATCACTTTGATACTCAGACAATAATTCTGTGTCACAAGGCCGGACAGGACGGGGGGGGGTGTGGGGGGGGGGGGGGGGGGAGAAGAAGCTGTGAACCAAGTGCAATAATCCAACAAATAAAACTAATAAGGAAGACTGTGTTTATTTTCTCACAGCTAATGGGGATGAGGAAACAGAAGTAATTTTTGCCGTTAAGAGCAAACATAAAATGAAGAAGTGACAATCAAAGCACTCAGACACGTGCTATTGCACCATTACAGCATGTCCTGCCTTAAAAGGGAAATATTGCAATAATTTCTATTTATATATTTTTATCTTTAGACAAGCCTGCATGGCTCACAGCAAAGGACTGAATGGGTATTACGATCATGTGTTTTTTGGGAATCGCAAGGTGGTTCTTGGTCTGGAATTTCAGCTAACTTTTACCACTCTGATGTACTCAACAAATGAAGTTCAGTGAACGATTCAAAAGGACTTCAATGGACTTTCGGGCTCTTCAAAAGAGTTCTATATGGACAAGGTATAACCAGCGGTGTTGGGTACAATCACTTGAAATGAGTTCATGAATGGCGATGATGTTTCCTGAGAGCATTGAACATTCTTTGCTAATAATATTGAATTATGTTCTTTTTGACAGCGAATGTTTGCTGTAAACTGAGACACTAGGACAAATATTAGCTCCTTCACACAGAAATGCATTTCTATCTTCGTGGTAACTTAACAATACTTCTTTCTCTGACCATCATCAATTCAGTGGCGATTTGAAAATGACCACCTTAATGGGCCACCTTTCGATCAGAATTTCAGACGTGTTTGCTTTCCAACAACACAAACAGATAAATATGTGGATCAGAGTGTCTTCATTAGGAATTTAATCAAATTAAAAACAGTATCAGAGTCAGAGTCAGAGTTTCTTTATTGTCTTTCGCACCTCATGTGGTACATGTGGTGGAGCGAAATTATGTACACAGGGTCCCAGTTACATCCAACAATCAAATGTAAAAGAAAAACAGTAATAACATCTAAGATATGAACTAAGAAAAACATCAACTAAATATACACTAAGCACTCATAACATAAAACATTGAACATCAGCACAAACATGAACATGAGTCTGTGAGCAGATGTGCACGCATGAACACATCAACATTGAAACAGATCAGCAGCAACATGATATGGTTTTTCACAGTGATTATTCTAGTTAGAGATTCATGAGTCTAACAGCCTCAGGGTAGAAGCTGTTCCTCAGTCTAGTGGTTCTACACTTAATGCTCCTCAACCTCCTTCCTGAGGGGAGTGGGGCAAAAAGTGTGTGTGCTGGGTGAGTGGGGTCCTTCATGATGCAGGTGGCCCTCTTCCTGCATCTAGAGGTGTAGATGTCTGTGATGGTGGGGAGGCTGACTCCGACAGACTTCTGTGCAGCCTTCACCACTCTCTGCAAAGCTTTTCTTTCTGCAGCTGTGCAGCCTCCATGCCACACGTTGATGCTGGAGCACAGGATGCTCTCCACTGCACACCTGTAGAAGGAGCTGAGGACTGAGCTTCCCAGACCAGCTCGCCTCAGCTATCTGAGGAAGTAGAGTCTCTGATGAGCTTTCTTGATCAGGCTGGTGGTGTTGTTGCTCCAGCTGAGGTTGTCATTCATGTGTATACCCAAGTACTTGTAGCTGGAGACCACTTCCACTGCAGATCCTCTTATGTTCAGGGGAGTGTAGGTGTGTTTGTTCCTTCTGAAGTCCACAATCATCTCCTTTGTCTTCTTCACATTGATGTGAAGGTTATTCTCTTTGCACCAGCTCTCCAGGTGTTCCACCTCTTGCCTGTAGCTGGACTCATCATTGTTTGTGATGCATCCCACCACCGCTGTATCATCTGCAAACTTTACAATGTGACAGCCTGGATGGGTAGCTGCACAATCATACGTGAGCAGAGTAAACAGGAGGGGGCTTAACACACATCCCTGAGGAGAGCCAGTGCTGAGGGTTATGGTGGAGGAGGAGAAGTTGTGGATCCTCACTGACTGTGGTCTGTTTGTTAAGAAGTCTAGTACCCAGTTTCAAATGGAGGGGCTTAGTCCTAGTGTCCTAGTGTGGACAGTATACACAAAGATAGAGGATAGGAAAGAACCAAACTGACATTAAACTAGAAAGTTCCTGTAGAAAATTTGACGTGGACTGCCCCAGCGCGGTCATTTTAAAATTTTGATTTTACAAAACTAGTTTTTTTCCTCGCTTGCCCTTGAGCAAGACGGATGCTTTTCTTCCCTCTCCTGCCTTCCTCCTGCTTTTTTGCTCTCGTTCCTGTGTATCGGAGCTTCTATTCACACATCTTCCGAATCGTAAATTACTGTCATGGTTTTGGTCAGCCGGACTTTCAACGCAACTGATAAAAATTTTTCAACCAAGCAACCGTGTGCTGGAGAACCCTCATATCCCCGCTGAGATACATGCGGCTGGGTACATCATGGATCCGTGGGAAGAATGGAAAATTCTGTGCCTTTCTGTGTTGTATCCTTGTATCCTTGTAAGATTTATACATCATTGGGTTTGTGATAGCAGGGTTTCTGCTTTTTGGTACCATTGGATACCTATGTTATCGGCTATTACGGAAGATGGCGGCAGCCGTTTTGGCCATCGCAATCTTATGTGAAGGATTAATTCATTCTTCGAGTTTTCGACTCAGCTGATTTACTAGCTCTACCGTAAGATGGAGGCGGTTTATGAGAATCGTAGGCCACTTGCAGCTTCTGGAACTCACCAGCATGTTGGGGTTGACCTTGGAGAAGGCTAATAAGCATGGACCAGCGGAAAGCCCATAAATATGGCCATTTTGGTCATGAGAGTACCAGCAGAACTCAAGGCTGACGAAAAACAGTCTGCCTGCACAAGAAACAGCTGTGGCTTATCTGAATCTGGCCTCCCTGAGAACTTCTGTGAATGCTTATCAGAGCTGTACCAGCTGACACATTAACATCTTATCAGGACTATGGTGCTATCTGGAAGTGCTTCAAGGACAAATCTCACTGTCTTGTCGTCAAATGCGTATGTAGTGTGTCTATAAATGTGCGTGCTGGTAGAGTTTTTTGATGTCTTAAATCATGTCCTGGCAAGGTGTGAAGAGATCTTTTTTGTAATACCACTATCATTTCCTCATGGTCTTTCCCCTTTTCTATCTAAAGAATAAGAGCTGCACTCCTAGGAGCTGCAGCCACGTGCACTCCACCCTTCTTTCAGACAACTGTATAGAATATAATCTCACTGTACTTTGGTGCAATGATGATAAAACTTATTCAGATTCTGATTCTGAATCTATGTGTTGGGGTTCCCTCTCAGTTATCGCCATACCAAATTTCAGCTCAATGTGACAAAAAAAAAATCAACGACTTATAGTATTTTTTTAAGCTATGATAGCCATCTTGGATTTTTGATTTGGATTCAGGATGTGATGGGGAATGTTCTCAGCTATAACCTCACCAAATTTAGGTTACATATGTATAAAAATAGCTGAGGTAAATCCGTTTAAATTTAGCTTTAGCTGCCATCTTGAGTTTTTTTTTAATTCAGTATTTAAGGGGCATTGTTCTCAGCTACCACCATACCAAATTTCAGCTTAGTATCTCTAAAAAAAAAACTGATTCATAGTTTGTTTCAATTAGAAAAATGGTGCCTTTGTTTGCAAATTACATCGCCATGGTACCTTGAAATGCCAATAAAAGTAATAGCACACATTATGGTGCAGAGCCCATCATTTAACTTGTGGGGGTACACATTGTGGTTCGGGCCGCATTAAAGTTGAAGGAAACGCAAGACCCTTTTCAGGTGGATAATAACAAGTGGCTTACTTCAGTCCCCAGTTAGAAAAATCAGACGGCAAAGGATAAAACGTGATGAGGCTGGAATGATAATTAACCCATGATGCTTACCAAAAATCTAACAAGTGTTTTAGTAAATTGTCTCTTAAGAGAAAAGAACAGATAAACGAATGTGAATTTGTTTGTTTTGGTGGTGCATTTTTGGTTTCATTTGGTGAACTACTGTATAAACATGAACTGAATCCATTTTAGTTTCTGTGAACTTATTTTGAACTGGTTCCAGTAAAGTAGTACTTTGCACCACGTTATCGTTTCAGAGGTTGGACCCAGGAACGCAAACTGAACCTGAGAAGCTCGAAAAACTTTAGAATTTATCAACAAAATAAAGTTTGCTGAGGCAGAAACAACTTCCAAAACACTCAGAGGAGAAAACGGACAGGGCATGAAGCACACACAATGTCAGACTCCTGAGTGAGATGAACTGAGGGACTATAAAGGGCTGATGAGACGATTAAAAACAGCTGAGCTTAATGAGACACAAAGCAGGTGGGCGTGGCAGGACTGAGGAGTTGAAATGGTTTAAAGGTTTAAATCTTTCCTCTCCAATAGGCTGGAATGTGTTAGCCTTGGCAATACCAAGTCCCAGACTGTCTGTCTCCTGTGGTGTCCCTCAAGGGTCAACTCTAGGGCCCCTGCTATTTTCCCTTTACATGCTGCCTTTAGGTCAAATTATTAATCAGTACAGCATTTCTTTTCACTGTTATGCTGACGATACACAGCTTTACATCAGGACTGGAGCATCATCATCACCATTGTCATCTCCATCTTCACTCACTTCCCTCTCTACCTGCCTGAAGGAGATAAGAGCATGGATGAATCAGAACTTTCTTCTGTTAAACTGATCCAAAACTGAGGCCATACTGATTGGCACCCCTCACCAGGGTCATCAACTATAACAACTATTTCCTTTTCTGGACAAGACATCCCCCTCTCCACCTCTGTTACAAATCTTGGAGTAAGAATGGACTCTCATCTTATATTTGAAAATCACATTAAGCATCTGTTTAAAACCTGTTTCTTCCATCTCCGTAATATTTCCAAATTTCGCCCATCTCTCATTTTTGCTGATGCAGATAAACTCGTCCATGCCTTTGTAACCTCCAGGCTCGACTACTGCAACTCCCAGCTTACTGGAATCCCCGGCAAAAACCTTCAGAAGCCTCAATATATTCAAAACAGTGCAGCCAGGATTTTATTGAGAGCTCGTAAATTTGAACATATTACACCCATTCTCCATAACCTCCATTGGCTTCCTGTCACCTACAGAATTCAGTACAAAATTGCTCGCATCATCATCAATGTTTAAACGGAACCTCACCAGATTATCTGAAGGACCTTCTTGTTCCATATTCATCCACCCGGTCCCTAAGATCACAGAACAGTAATATCCTCCACCTTCCACAAACTAAATTAAGGACCATGGGAGATGGGGCATTCTGTGTGGCAGCCCCCCACCTCTGGAACTCCCTCCCTGACTATCTGAGAGCTCCGTAATCATTGGTTGACTTTAAAAAAGGCTTAAAGACTTTTCTTTTTAAGCAAGCCTATTCTGCCTCCACATGATTTTATCACTGATTTGAGTTGCACTTAATAATGTTAATAATTCATTATTATTATGTTATTCATTTATTAATTATTATAAAAATAAATATATTTTATAATAATATTGATATTAATAAGTAATATTGAATATAAATTATTAATATTAATAATTATTAATGTTATTATTTGTAATTATTAAAATGAATCATTAATAATTTATGTTAATTATTTTTTACTAATTAATAATAATAATAATAATAATAATAATAATAGGTGATCATAGGTACCTTCCATGCATGTTGAACCAAAATGGCTCCCGACGTTACTCAGTTTCTTTGAAAAGTTTTCTCCTATTCATTTCCTATAGGAATTTTGTCATTTTCGTTAGCAAAATATGTTGCCATGGTAACGCCAATTGCCAATAAAATTAATAGCACACATCTCGGAGTCGGGCCGGTCGTTTGGATATAACTTTTGTGGGGGTCCACGTTGCGGTTTGGGCCGCATTAAAGTTGAAAAAGATACTCTTTTCAGGTGTAGAATAATAAGTGGGCAGTCACCAACTAGTTTCTGGAGTTGGTGAAATATTGCGTCTTTGTTCGCAAATTACTTCGCCATGGTAACTCGAAATGCCAATAAAAATAATAGCACACATCACGGGGCCGAGCCAGTCGTTTTGATATAAATTTTGTGGGGGTAGACGCTGTGGTTCGGGCCGCAATAACTGAGATAGAAATATAGACTCACTTCCAAGGTGTAGTATAATAGGTGCCTGCCATGCATTTGCATGGCAGCCCCCAATTAAATTCATTATTATTATTATTATAAATGTTTGTATGCTTGTGAAAATATTGAAAATTGCAAATCATCTGTTACACAGTCAGTGTGTGTTATTCAGTCAGTGCAACAAACACTCAAAAATATGTTTGTACATAAAAGGTCAACACATTTTACACTTTTCATTTTAGAGACAAGGAAATCACCAGATTTATAATAGCTCATATGAGGTTCTGGCCAAGTTTCCACAGTTCATTATTTTTATATTCAGCAGAGCTATAGTCATATTAACTAAAATTACTTGAGTTTCTTTTTTTTTTTTTTAGGGGAACCTTATACAGTTGAGTTTGAAAATTTGTGAAGCCTTTAGAATTTTCTATATTTCTACATGAATATGAGCTTAAACATCATCAGATTTTCACACAAGTTCTAAAAGAAGATAAACAGTACCCAGTTATTCAACCTTTGTTTAGACATGTTAATCCCATTGAGCCTCAAGGACTCATTTACAAGAGAGACCTGATTTCAACAAAGAATGATGACAACAATGGACAACAGCAACAAAAATAGACAGTTATAAAAGAGGCATACATGGGGTTTTTTTTACAAATAAGATGGCAAAAAAAGTAGCAAAAACAGCTAGATTATAAGGCGAATGTAGAAAACTAAAAACAGGAACATGTCTGCATTGGTTCTTGCCAGGAGTCCAACAGATGTTTAAAGCCACTTAGAGAGGTCAAGGTCGAGAGCTTCAGATCTTTATGTAAGATATTCCAAGAAACAGGAGTCGAGCAGAAGAAGGCCCTTTTGCCTAGTTCAGTCCTCATTGAGGGAACACTGCAGGTAATAATGTCCTGAGAGCGCACGCTGTAGCTGCACTCACGCAGAGACAGGAGGAGATGTATGAAGGCAACAGACCAAGAAGTGATTTAAAGATGAAAATGTACCAGTGGGAGAGTCTGCGTGAAGTTAATGATTTCCAGTTAACCCGTGAATACTGGG